CGGGGTGATGCCAGCGCCCAACCATCCGGGGCACCGGCCCGTTATGGCCGGCGCTGTGCTGCTGGCCTGCTCCCGGGACCGCAGGCGTCTCCAGCCAAGGCCAGCCCCGTCCTTCTGCGGCAGCCCAGGGACCCGGGCCGGGCAGTGCCCCCGCCAAACCCCGGCGTGAGGGACATGCGCGCCGTTCCTTGTTAGGCTCGTCAGGGCGGCTCTCAGATAGACTGGCGCCCTGCCCGGGTTAGGTCCAGGTCGGCAGTCAGTCTAGAGCCGGGCTGTTTACGGGACAGGGAAGAGCTGATCACGCACGGTGCCGCCCAAGCACACCCGCACACGGAATCCACACAGCAAGGCAGTGGAGAGAGGAGCCCAGAGGAGGCCAGGCCCGGCTGTCGGCATATTTGTTCTCCCAGAGTGAGGGGGAGAGGCTGGGAGGACGCAAGTCACAAAGAGGACGTCACAGTGACCGGCTCCCTGCCTGGGGGGAGCAGAGAGGGTGGAGGCCGCTGGAAGTGGCCCGGAGCCCCAGGGCACCCCACCTGCCCCCCTCCTGGTGCTGGAGGCCCCCCTCCTTACTGAGATAGCTGAGGCCTGCTTCCCCTCCCTGGCCCCGCCCTGAGCCCGCTCCTCCGTACCTTTTATAATCTAATTTTCACAATCCTCCGAGGGGTTCACCACAGCCCAGTCTTACAGATGAAGAAGCAGACCCAGAAGGTGAAGCCACAGCCAAGCCACAGAGGACAGGCTGCCCCCGCCCCGCAGTGAGACCAGAGTGGCCAGCCTGGGTGTCCCGACACCGCTGTTTTGAGGTGTAACTGGCATACGTTCAGCTGCACAATCTGAAGAGCTTTGACACGTGGCTCAGGCCTGCAGTCATCACTACAACCCGTATAATGAGCACCTGTGTCACCCACAGCCCCTCGTGCCCCCTGCATTCCCTCGCTCCCGCCCTCACTCCACAGGTGTACCCAGGCCCCGTTTGTTTCCTCTGGTTCCGTGTTGTGACCAGGCCCCGTCTCCCGTTCTTTTACTGACGAGAGCAGGGCCGTGTTTTTCACTGTCCCATGAACACCGCCAGTGACGCATCCTCACTCCACGGCAACACCGGGCTCCTACTCCCCCCACCCCAGGCTGTGCCCGGCAGCACCTGTCCCCTGTTATCCCGCGGAAGTGAGTCGGCTCTGCTTCCCCTCGTCCTGTGGACGTGACTGGCCAGGGCCTCTGGTTCCGCGCTGCGCCACAGGCACGACCCAGCCCCTGCTGCGAGCTGGCAAGAAATAGCCCTCCTGGTCTTCGCACCCAATTCCAGGCACAGAGCTCCCAGAACCCGTGCAGCTTCCTGGGTGGCAGGAGTGTCTCCCGTTCTGGTCAGGTGACTCTCAGTGGCTTCTGGGCGGGGGCTGGCCACCCTCTTCTCTTGAGAAGGGCGAAGGGCTGAAAACGGGGTGACAGTCAATCATGTCCATGAGATGAAGCTGTCATAAAATTCCCCAAGTGTGGGGTTCGGGGACCACGGGGCAGCTGGGAGAGTGTGCAGGGGGCAGGCAGGCTCTGCGCCTCTTCCCACCTCTGCGCCACGCCCGTGTCCCTCTGGACGGTCACCTGTGTCCTCTAACAGATCCTTTCGTCACAAACCAGTGGTGAACCTACATGCTCCCCGAGTTCTGTGAGGCGCTAGCAGACGCAGTGACCCCACAGAGCCGGTGTGGGGACCTCCGATCTCCAGTGCGTCGGTCAGAGCACAGGTGACAAGCTGGACTTGCCATTGTCCTCGGAAGCGGGGGAGGCTGGTGGGACTGGGCCTTACCTGTGGGGTCTAACACCATCTCCAGGCAGAACTGAGTTGAATCGCAAGACATCTGGCTGGGGTCGCAGAGGGTCTCCTGTGGCGAGGACCCCCCCCATTTGGTGAGCAGAGTGTCCTAAATCGTGTCCAGTGGCAGCAGTAAAGGAGACCCAGGGGAGAGAGACCCGCAGGGCAGAGCTGGGTTTTCCCCACACGGGCAGAAAGCTGAGTTTTCATTTTCACCTGTGTCCCCCTTTCCAAGGAAACGTCCAGAGACCTTTCTCCCTAATTCCGTGAACATGTCCAGGCTCCCCGTTCGCCTGTCAAAGGGTGTGGTCAGTCCCCTCCTGCTCACTGCAGGGATTTAACCAGGCATGTTCCCTCCTTCCCGGATGTGGCCGAGTCCTCGCTCTTCTCACCGCGGGAGCCCGGGGGCTCCACTGTCCGCGACTCCACGAAGAAATCAGGCCTCATACCTTCCCTTCCTGTGGACTTTATCAGTCTCAGTATTCATCCCTTAATTCATGGACACAGGCCCCTATGTCCACCAAGTTTTGTGGACGTGGTGGCCTCAGTCCCCTCTTAGCTTATGGACATTGAACGGCCACCTGTCCCTGCAGCGTGTTCTGGACAACAGGCGGGTCATTTCCCTTATTCCTTGACCTTCGTCACTGCCCACTTCCCTCCTTCCGCGGACCCATCCAGCCCCCACCCCATTTCCCCCTAAACTGTGGGAACGAGTCTTCCCACTCCGTCTCCCTCCGATGCAGGGACGGAGCACTGCTCCCGTGGACGTCACCGGCCCTGTTCCTCACCCTCCGTGGACGGGACCAGGATGCTCGGTTCCACCCTTACTCTTGCACAGAAACAGCTGTTTTCCCCTTAGTCCATGGATGCGGCCAGGACGCCTGCTCCTCCCTTAGCAATGGAGTTGATGAGGCCGCCCATTTCCTCCCGTTTCCTCTCGTTTCCACGGATGTGTTCGTTCCCCTTCTCGCTTTCCTGAGACGTGACCAGGGCCCTGCTCTCCCCTTGTCCTGTGGGAGTCAGCCCTCCGATTCCCCTAGTCACGGTGCGGCAGCCGAGACAATGCCCCCCAAGACACCCCAACCCCGACCCCGGGAACCTGCGAACAGCACCCTAAAAGCAAGGTGGTGAGGTGCGCAGACCGTCGTGGGTTTTCCAGACAGGCCCTGAGTGCTGTCCAACATCCGCGCAAGAGGGAGGCAGACAGAAAAGGAGGCCACATGACCACAGAGGCAGAGTCTGGCTGACGAGACCACGGGCCAAGGACGCCCA